AAAAGAGAAGGCTGAGGGGGGATCTTGTGGCCTGTTATAAACTGGTTAGGGGGGATCAGCAGGCGCTGGGGGAGTCCCTGTTCCCCCGAGCGCCGCAAGGAGTGACCAGGAACAATGGTCACAAGCTGGCGGAGGGAAGGTTTAAGTTGGACATCAGGAGGTGCTACTTCACGGTCAGGGCGGCTAGGGTCTGGAACCAGCTTCCAAGTGAGGTGGTGCAGGCTCCCACCCTGGGGGTTTTTAAGAGGAGGTTGGATGACCACCTTACTGAGGTCATTTGACCCCAGTGCTCTTCCTGCCATGGCAGGGGGTCGGACTAGATGATCTGCTCAGGTCCCTTCCGACCCTAGAAACTATGAAACTCCCACGGGTAGGAATATGCAAAGGCCATCTGTAACCAGAGTTCCTAAAGATGACCCCTGCACATTCACACTTACTGCCCACCTTCTTCCTGTAACCTCATCTGATGTCTTTGGAAAGTGTGCAGATTTCCATGAATAAACAATGGGAATACAAGCACTACAAGTTAACATAGCTTTACAGAGAGAGAAGTTTTCTCAAATAAATTTTGTTTTATTCTTTGAGGAAACAAGTTTAGTTGATAAAGATACCTGGCATTTTAAGGCATTTGGCATAGTCCTGCATGGCATTCTCGTGAGAGAACTTTGCCTAACACTGTGCGTCAATTGAGCTCATGTTGGATTACTTCAGAGCTGGCTAATTTCAACTCTCTACATACTCGTCAATGGGAAGTCATCAAATGGGGGTGTGTTTAGTGGAGGTAGGCAGAGATTGGGTTTGGACCAGAAGCTGTCTGGTATGTATATTTATGATAAAAGAGTAATATAAAAATCTTCACGTTAGTAAATATTGTTGAGGACCAGGCATCCATGCACAGCAGAGCAGGTTTGATTTCTTTTTAAGCTCAGTCCGTTTGTGCATGTTTGTGTGAATAAAACCAACTAAATGCAAAGTCAGACATCCAGGGACAAAGTGCTGCTGCTCATATTCACATGACTTTCCATGGGATGCCATGGCGCAAAAGGACTAATTCTGTCCTTAGTTGTGTACAGTACATAGAAGGGAAACAGTTTTTCTCTCTGTATATGGTACTGGGACACTGAGGAAATACTGCATCCACTTGTGGTGGCAGCTCTTCATGATGTTGAAAACTAGATGATGGGGCAGAGATTGCAGGTTGGCAGATACACCATACACCGCCAGAACCTGGAGCTCAGTCTAAGTCATCTCTAGATTTTTGATGCATGAGTGTGTTGGTGTCTTGTCAGGGAGAAAATACAGGGCACATAACAGGCTCTTAAATCCATCAGATAACAGCATAATGAGAGCTAGTGGCTGAAAAGTTAAAGCCAAACGACTTCAAAATAGACAAAGGCACAATTTAAGTGAAAGTGAATAGGCACTGGAAGCGACTACAAAGGGATTTTCCATTTCTTGATGTCCTCAGCTCAGGGCTAGATGCCTCTCTAGATCTTCTGCTGTAGTCAAACGCAGATTACTGGACTCAAAGTGGCAATGGGGTGACATTTTCATGGCCTCTGTTGGGCAGGAGGTTAGACTGCATAAGATAATGGCCGCTTCTGCTTTAAAATCTGAGAATAGATTCATGAATGTTGGACCTGAAGTGGCAGTGGATCTTAAGCAGTCAGTGTGCTATGGCTCCTCCTATGACCAGGCCCTCCAGTGTTTGGAGGAGCAATAGGGGAGATATAAACACCCTAGTGGGCGCTATTTCTGAAAGGTTAACCCTGTTCAGCTTGCACAATCAACACATCCCAGGAATATGAAAGCGCAGAGATTGTCTTGAACTCTGGTTGCAGGTGAGTAACCTTCATTTAGGGCTTTCACAGAAACTACTTAAATGGAACAACTCATGCTTTCAAGTTAGCAAGTTTTTTTTTAAGCACCTTAGATACAGAGTAGTCAGCACCTTGTAGGGTCTAGCACATATACAACAACTCCTGTTAATACAAATGTAGCCTGAAATTTCTCTCCTTGGTTGGAAGGGAAAGCATTCAGATGCACTGTCCTACTGTATGTGGGAGTAGGGGACTAAGTCTTTCTGTCAAAGGAAAATGGCCAGTACCAGTGACAAAGGGTCTAAGCAATGTACCACTCTCCCAGGCTAAGACAGAAGCTGGAACAAAAGTACTTTCGAAATAGTTTTTTCTTCATCTCCTGATGAACAAACCTTTTATTCATGCATTAATCTTCATAGAGATCATATTCTATGTAGCTCTTCAACCCCAGCAATTTTACCAGCTTTCTCTGAAGAGTTTGTTTTGTTCCTTTTAAAATATCCGTTACTACAGAAACTTCTTATATAGATCTGAAACGAAGGACCTTCAAAAGTATGTAGCTGCAACTGCAAATTTAGGTTGGCTTTTTAGTCATCTTTATCTATTTGGACAGTGGAACTGTTACAAATGGCTGTCTTTTCCCCCCCATCTCAGAATAGCATTCCCTTCGAACACCATGGCAAGTAGCTGCTCGTCTCCTCCTTGGAAGGCAGCACTGGGTGAGTCCCTTCTCATTAGACACCGAGTCTTTGGAGGGGTGGGATGAAAACCTGTGGAAACATTAGATTGGCTGCTGCTTCTGTAGAATCCTAGACTTTATCTGCATCCTACAGATGCCAGGTACTTGATGTGGCATTATGCTTTCTTCTGAATGTAAAAGCATCCATCTTTCCGAGGGATGAATTTATTGACTACTGTTCTGCTTAGATTCTTTAGTGGAGTTACCTGCAAAGTATGATTTGGGGATGATTTAGTTGGACTTTATTAATAAAAATAACCATATAAGCAACCCTGAATCAAATCTTTCCTAGAACCACTTCTCATTCCACAGAAATGCTCACAGTCTGATATCTACTCAATATTACCTTACTCATTTTTATAATTTGCAGCTTAATGATTTATGATGGGCAAATTAACTGCTTTACTGAAGTGAATGCTCTCTTTTTGCGTGAGTTGAAAAGACTATTAAAGCAGTTGTCATTTCTCAGTTTTTAAATTCTCTTCCCAACCCTCATGACCTGCCAGAGAATAAGAAACATTTTCAGATGAGCTTTGCTTTGGTGTAGGTGGCACGTGAGCATCTTGTAGGTGGGCAGAATGGGACTTGGATACTCAAAAATTCCTTGGCTGTGATCCATGAAGAAGTCATTTCGGCCTTTGTGTGCAGTTTTCAAGCTTTTTGAGCCATTTCTGTTTTGGCTCAAACATCAGGGCAGCAATAAGTTCAGGTCATTATTTGAACCTTGCTGCATTGAAGAACACTGTTTCTTACTATTTTCAGAGCTTCTTTGCTTTGCTTTATATTAGTAAGACTGTTGACTTTTCTGTTCCTTGTGAAAATGCAAAGTAATGCTGCTGCTTCACTTTCTCTGTAAAACTCCAGCTTGCACTAATCCTACATCTTCAGTGGGTGTAGAATCCTGCTCTTCCTCCTCTTATTTAATTTTCTCCTCCTGTTTTGTGTGCTTGGCTGACTCCACAACCTGCTTCTTTCTTGTGTGATGCTTGTAATATTCAAAGCTATCTGTAAATGAGACCCTACAGTCAATTATCAGGCCTCACGCAAACAAAACTCCCATTGAAATCAGTGGAAGGCTTGCATGAGTAAGGCCTGAAGAATCAAGTGTGATCAAGATCTTGTCTGTTATAATTGACCTTTGTGACATGCCAAAAAACCATGTAGCTGCTTAAAGACTTCAAGACTCAGATAAACAGTGACTTGGCTGCTTTGACCTTTGCTGCCACTCAAACTGAAACTTCTGCTGGGTGTCTCACTTTCCTTGGACAGCATGTTACTTGAGGCAAGCTTCAGCTATGGAAATGATAATGTGAAGTGTCATTAATATGCCCTCACCATTACAGGCCAGCTCTGAGGGGATCTTGTTTGTTCATTTTGGATTGATTGTTGTTTTGTTTTTGAAGGAATTGTTAAACTTATCATTCATCTTGGGATTTTTTTAACTTTGAATTCCTATCACCTCTTTCTTTTCCTTTTTTTTCTTTCTTTTGAGCTTGGCTGAGGTTTAATCTGATTTATCCCTTCCTTTCTGTGCATGTTTTTGCTCTGATGGACTTGTTCTTCAAACTCTTTCCTTACTGAAATGGTGCATTTCCTGTTTAAAACCTTTAATACAGAGGGAGAGTGCAGATAACTTCCCACAGATACAGGTGGGTGTAAAAGACAACATATCCATTGGTCTACAGATTCTGAAATGGAATAAGAATCTTCTAAAATGGTCTTGTGTCCTAATGTCATTACAGGTGGTAGACGCTGTCCGTCTACATGCAAATCAAAAGACTTGTGCTGACATTATCCTGTTGTGTTTTTTTTTGGCTCTGATAGATTCCTGCTCGGGTGACTCCCAGTGTTCTCCAGTCTGCTGTGCACCGATGAAAATTACTTTGCCATGGAGGGCAGATAATGCATGGCTGATCTCCTGTATTACCAATGGCTTTACTAGCAAAAATACCCCAAACTAGAGCAGAAACATTACAGTTGGAGTTCTCCATGCCACTTACAAAAAGATACTCACAAGAACATGGACAGAGACTCCAGCAGCTGCCATTACAGGACGCTTTTGCCAGAAACCCAGTGACCTTAAGTGAACTCTGTAGCAACAGGGCTGGAAAAGGAAGAGATGGTTTACAGAGTTAACCGCCTGTTATTGAATAGCCATTTCAGTTCTCCCTCCACAGGCGGCAGACTTTACCCCTTTTTATTATTCTACTGTAACTATAAAACTTTTACTTAGTTTAAGAGAATTTTTTGTATCATTTTGCTAAAATTATTGGCTTAATTCTCTGTAAAGAATTCTGTCTTGCTTTTGTCTGATTTAAAAATGTAGAATATAAACCATCCTGAATTCAAGATGATGACTTGAAGTTTCTTGTAAAATTTAGTCTGGCAGGGAACATGTAAATGAATTAAAGCCATCTGATTTTATTTAAACTGTTTACTTATTTTGTATGGGCCCGTGCTGGGGGTTTTCTCCTGATGTTTGTTTGTTTGTTTTAGTACACATTATTTTGCTTTTTCTGTCTTCCACCTTTTCAAATTTATTCTCCATGAAGCACAGAAGCAATTTTGATTTTTATTCTTCTATACTATAATTAGTAAGAGCAGCATACATTCTGTGTCTAGTTCCAGCAGAGGTGGTGGTAGTAACTTTTTCCCTGAAGAATATGAAGAATAAAGAGAGTGAAGAGCTCTTATATTTAAGGAGAATTTGGAGCTTTAACATTGAAAGCATGGCACATCTCTCTTCCATTTGAGAGGGAGGGTTGTGCATCTTTCTTCTTGGTAATATCTAGGGTGGTTCTTTTTTTGGGGGGGTTGTTTCGTTTTTTGAGAGAGAGAGGTTGGGTTGGAGAGAATTATAAAAGAAAATGAATGTTGTCATTGCAGTTTGAGTGAATTTGCACAACACTTGCTTCAGCGCATCCATATACTTTTTTCCCTTTTTTTTAAAGTGATTCTAGTCTCCTGTTTTAATGCCAAGACACAAAAATAAATGCATGCTCCTTCTGTTTGAAATTCTGATTGAGTACACTAGGGTGTGTATTTAATTCTTTAATATTAGAGTAATTTGGGTATATCTGGAATCACTAGTCTTTAGCTGGAGACAATTTATTTTATGACAGTTTTTGTGTAAATCTAAGCACAGAAAGTGCTTTTGGCAAATGTCTTTTAAGGAATATGGAAAAATCCTTGTGTTTTTTAATGTAGAACATTTTCCTAAAGTAATATATGTTTCTCCCTTACAGTAATCGGAATGTTAGTAGAAGTATTAGTCGCACCATTTGAGCAAAATAATGTCCGTTACCATCTTTGTAACAAAGGTAAAATACATTTGTGTGTGGAGGGGATTTGGCTTTTTTTGGCTTAAACCAACAAATCAAATTGCATCCTACTTGCAAGCCAGTTGCAAACCAATCAATTTATGGCTTCCAAGACCCTCAGTTTTTGTTAGGAATATCTTTGTATTGATCCAGAATTTTGCAAACTCCTTTTCCTGTCCAGAAATTCATCGGCTATATGTCAGTCACTTTTTTTTTTTCTTTGGGTATTTCAGACCATTATTTAATTGCTTGTGTACTCTAGATCTATACTGGGGGAATCCTGTGACTGGGGGAGTGCAATGGAAAAATTGGTTTGGTCCGTGGATATTTTTGCATAACAATCCATTCCTCATTTTACTGTAACTTGAGTACTGTAGGCATGTGCACTACCATTTGTACAGTTCTACACTTCACTGTGCTTTCTTTGTAAATATCTGTGGTTAATGATGTAATGTTAGAGACGCTTACAAAGGCAGCCTCTTCCTTCCCTCTGTATCTGGAACACTTAAATTGATGTACTATACTTAAAAGGTGACTGCAAATTTCTAGAAATGTACTTGTTTGTGGGCAGTCTTGCCCTTTCATGATCATTAAGTCCCATCACCTGCAGATTATAGTTAAACTGTCTCTCTAAACCTGTGTATTGGTTACCAATATCTCAGAACACCTCATTTGTACTACCACTGTATTTGTGTACTTAAACAGTTGTGTAAATAAATTCATAATGACTTCTGTTCTTTTCCTTGGTGCAGCTTATTTGTCTCTCTAGTGGATTCTCTGCACAAGCACAGGCCTTTCTGACAGTTTGCAGACTTTAAGGTAGTACTGAACTCTCCCCCAGAATATCCTGATCGTTGATTCCCACTGGATCATAAGACCTAATTTAGAACAAACAGAAGACGGGGGTTGAGGAAGGCATCCATACTATGATCACTACAAACTGTGGAGGGGAGAATCTAGGACGGTCACAGCTGTCCTTTTTGCACTGACCAGGAAAGCTGGGTTGGCTTTCATGAGGAAGAACACAAATTGTACCTTGTTAAAGAGGTATCTCAGCTTGAGAAGTGGGTGGTGTTGCCTCTGCCAATTCTGGGTCAGGACACCACTACCCTATTTCACATCTCTCCCTCCACTGTAGGCATTGATAGAAAACCCACAGTTTAGCCTCAGTGGGTGCTTCTACATGTTCAATTAATCCGATGCAATAAATTCCAGTGCAATTCATGCCACAGTCGACTGCTCCTGGGCACAGTGTCTGCACATGCATCCAGGACCACAGCAAATTGAGCCAGAGCAGAGGGACTAGCTAGGGCACAAGAGTGATGAAACTATGGAGCAGTGTAGCTGACCCCCTGCCTGCCGCCAGGCTCAAACTGTTGTGGTCCCAGTCACTGCCCACACATGCATTTCTGCACAGTAAGTGACTCCACCATAAGGTAGTACTGCCCCCAACAGTACTATATTATGGTGGAGTTACTTTACTGCTCCCTAATACCAGTGCACATGTAGACAGTGATGCTTCAGTATGGAGCTAATCAGTCAGCTGCACAGTAAAGTGACTCAACCTCTGTATCAGTCGTCAGGAAAAGACAATGGAAGGCAAAGAGCACAGGCAGGCAGTTTGTAAGGAAACGGGGCTTCCTGGTTCCTGTCTTAGAGCAGTGGTTCTCAAGTGGTGTGCTGTGAGGCCCCTTGGGGATGCTGCAGTGGCACTAGCCAGATAAAGCTGCCCTGCATACTACCCCTGCATTAGGGCTCTAATCAGCTTAAAGCAGGCAGCAACTTTTGCTTGCACTGTGTAGCTTTTTCTGGTCCCTTCCCCTCCAGTACCCCTCCCACAAACAGGTACAGGTAGAACTCTCCCATTCCCTTCTGTTTCTGGGAGAAGCATTGGGGAGCCTTGACCAGAAAGAGCCACACAGCACAAGGTAGCTCCTGCTTGCTTTAGGCTGAACAGAGGCCTAATGCAGAAGGAGTACAAGCTGTGGCACAGCCCCTCCCAGGCTCACTTGGCAGCACAGGGATGTTTCCTCACAGTTGCATGGCACCTCCTGGCAGCAGAACCCGGGTGAGCACCACTGAGGGAGCGCCAACAGTGGCTCTCAGCCAGGGGTGCTGCTGCTTTCAAAAAATGGTGCTGGGGGTGTCCTGATCCTGAAAAGGTTGAGAACCACTGTCTTAAAGAAATAATGGCATGGTTTTTACTTGTTGAAAATATTTTTCATGCTTTAATCTAAGTAGAGCTTGCTTCTGTCTAGTCTTATAAAGAGAAGCCTTGTGCAAATGTTGTTTGTTCTTTTATGTTTTATCTTGTTTATCGGGGATTGCATTGAGTGAAAATTGGAAAGACAGTTGCTGAACTGTATGATGGTGCAACTCACAGGTAGGAGCTGTAGATTAAAAAAAGTATGAGTACTTAGCATTGGTTCTTGGGTGATACAGTAAGTGTATTGGCCCTAGCTATAACAGCACTGTTCTCTGATATTTAATCTTCAATTTTATATTAAATCAATTGTGTCCTGTTTTTGAAAGATCTTTTAAAAAAAAACGTGCTTTAGAAACATGGAGCTTTTTGGTGCCACTTTGTACTTTGGTTGAAATTGAACTGTGTGTTTAAAAATAGATCCAGCCTTTCACTGGACTTAGTACTCAACCAGAATAGGTTTCATTCACAGTTTCTAAAGAAAATGGGTTTGGACAACCTCTGCACTAAAATCATAAATGCATCTGACTGCAGTTGGATCTGTTTTGCTCTGAAAGCGAAAGAATCTTTTAAAAATAGGCTATCACACAAATACGGAATATAGTCAACATATATATACAAATTCTGTGCTTCAAATGTGTTGCTCTTTATGTAAGTGCGTTAATAACATCTGTAGGCAATAAAGGCTCATGGCTAAAGACACATTTCCTCTCAAATGACATGAGGCGAATGTCTGGACACCTGGAATTGAAGAGCCTGGTGCTGTTAGATGTTGAATGCCTCCAGTGAGGAGTTCAGTGCCTCTAACACTCAGCAGGGTTGGGCCCTGACTTGGGGGAATAATTGCATGTAACATGGCATGTATGCTATTGGGAGCCTGTAAATGTTGTATGTAAATGTAAAAGAGGTTGGACACTGGCAGCATCACTTCATGAGAAACATTTTAACTTGGGGGACACTAATACAATGCACTTCTATTCTCGTGGGTAGCTTAGTATGAGTTTCTCCTTTTCTTAAGTCCATCATTATGGGAACAGTAGGTTGGGAACCTTGTTTAAGAAATGCAACCTGTTGAAAAACAAGGGAGCTGATAACACTTAGCCCAGATGCGTCTGTGTATATAGTATATACAGCAGGGGAAAAGAGCATACCAAATCTCTACAAACGTTTCATTTCAACAACTTCATCTATTTATGCGGGGCTCAGTATACAACACTGATATTCAAACGAGGGGTGATGGGAGAAGTAAAACATTGCGTATATTTTAAATAAAGATCATGATGCATTGTTGCAGGTGCATATGATTCCATTGTTTGATTTCATCCCATCGGAAAGAGGCAGCTGTCTACATCTCCCCAAATGATACTTTTGACATTCAGCATCTCTCTGGGGTAGAAGTCCAGCCTGAAATAGTTGTCCAATACCAATTGCTACAAATACTTTTAAAATGTCAAAATGCTGGGCATTGCCTCTCTGTGTCTGACTAGCTGAATAAGTGTCAAAATAGGTGGTTGTATTAGTCTCTAATTACCACCACTCCTGTGGTATGTATATTGCTAAATGCTTTAAGTAGTTTTTTCCTCTGTTCTGCTTCTCCAGTATGGTTTTTCTTGTAAAATAAGGTAAGTCTAATTTTTTTAAATATTTTGAGTTATGTATTAATTTCTTGATGCGGCAGAAGGAATGTGAAACTGAAGAAAAGGTTAATGGTATTTTGACTTTTTTTTTAATAGCTGTTCTTTGGATTTACTGAAGATCCCTCCTTTGCCATCTCTAATACTGCCTGCTTCAGTCTCATTCATCTGTTCAGAAGACATACATGACTTTGGCCGCTATTTCTTTTAAATAGTATTTGGCCGTATGGCCAGCTACTCCATTTAAACGACACAAAAAAAATCTATATTTAATCTACCTGGAAAGTGTAATCCAACAAGAGTTTAAACCTACAACCAAAATTAATTTCTGGAATTCACTGTTTTAAGTAAAAACTGAAGGTAAGGATCACACAAGGCCATTTTTCCTCGGCATGCCAGCAGCTGCTCAGAGTCCAGGCCAGCTGCATCCAGGAGGCTGCAAACAGCTGCATGGGGCTTCATAGCCCCAGGACCAGTTCTGACTACAGCATCTGCGCACGCACCTCTGGGCGCATGTCCGGGAAGGGACCTGGGGCAGCGCAACCCTGGCTCCTCCCCCACCATCTGCACAGAGGCACGTGTGCAGCTGCCACTGGCATGGAGCCGGTGCTGGGGCTAAGGAGCCCAGCACAGCTGTTTGCAGCTTTCCAGCCACCCACTACAGCTGCCCAGAGCCCAGGCTGGCTGTGGCAGCCAACCAGGAGGCTGCAAACAGCCGTGCTGGCCTCCGGAGCCCTGGCACCGGCTCTGTGATGGCAGTAGGTGCACGCGTGGCTCGCAGCACATGGCAGGGAAGGGGCTGGGACAGTGCAACCCTGCCCCCTCCCCCACCATCCACTTGGAGGCGTGCACGCAGCCACTGCTAGCAATGAGGATCGGGCCCCTTGCAGCTCCCCCATCTCTGGCACGCCAAGTGGAGGCCTGGGTGGAGGTTGGGGTGATTTTTGGCACTCTGGCCAAAAATGTTGGCAACCCCCTGATCCAGATAGTTTTGTTGTTAGAGGACATGGTACTCTAGAGATTGGATGGACCATAACAACTTAAGATATTTATTATTTTTAAAAAATTGTGAATTACTGAACTTACATGTGCAGAAACTGAATAACAGTAATCAGTGGGCCCTTTTTCCATATCCTCACTGCAACCTTATATTCCAACAGCATTAAAGGATTTTTTTTTTTTTTTCTCCCTCAGAAACTAGATTTAAAGGTTGTCTTTTAGGAAGCTTGTCACCTTGACTGGTAAGGCTTTCTAGCGTTTGTTTACTCTCACTGCTGGGAAATGATATCTTATTTTAAAATTGAGTTTTTCTACCTTTGGCTTCCAGCTATTGGGTCTTCTCATGCCCCTGTCAGAAAGATGGACAAACAGTCTGCTTCTGGACATCTTTTGTAAATGAGGTTTTTGTTTCCGTTGGTTTCAAGGTCTTCTACAGTACACCCCTGAGGAGGGTTTGAATGCCAGCACTTCCTCACCTTCTTTGAGAGAGGACAGGAGAAACAGGAAGCAGAAAAGCAAGAAATCCCTGTTTCTTACCTTGTCAGGCAGGCATCTTGGGACAAAGGTGATGTTCCCAGCTGGCATGTGGGCAAGATTAAACTGTGGCGCAGGCAGTAGGAAGACCCACTCAGGTGCCAGGACTGGGACCAGAAGTAAGTAGCATTTTTTTTTATCTTAAGCTTCTCAAAGCCTTTCAGGCACAAGCTCCCCCTCCCACAGTGAGGCACAGAAGCAAGCGAGGGACACAGAGACATAGAGACAAGGAGGAAGCAAATCTTTATTCCCTACATGCACAAAGGCAAGGTCAGTTGTGAGACATGATAGCTGCAGAAATACACACCCTAAAGCCAGCCCAGTTGCTAACAATGCCTCAGTTACTGCAAAACCTGCCACCCCTCT